CGCTGCGGCCGGGGCACGGGGTCTGTGGGGAACTGAGGTGCGAAGGTGGCTCTGGAGAGGACAGCGGGCCTGAGCGGGCGGGCTTTGGAGGCGGGCTTTGCAGGTGAGTGGCTACGAGAACGTGGGCAGTAGGCTAATCGCCATACCTGAGCTCCAACATCTACAAGTTAGTGAGTTATTTGTAGCTAAAACACTGTCAAGGGGGTTTTATTAGACGCTGGACGGGATGTCGGGTTCTGACCAGTCGGGTGGACGTGGCCCATCCACACTTCTCTCTGGAAACGCCGAAGACACCGGGCCGCACACTCCCCAGCGGCGTGGCTGCGGGCCCTGCGCCCCGGAGGGCACAGCGGAGAGCTGCCCAGGAGACAGGGCGGCAATGGGCAGGGCAGGGCAGGGGGCGTCTCCTGTGCTCCCCAAAACCCGCCGCGGTCTGGTGCCTTCTCACCGCCCCGGTGTGCCGAGGGTACGCATGTGTGAACAGAGTCTGTCTAATCTACTAGCGAAGTCCATGTTCTTCTCGGGACAAAAACATTAGTTGTCATTATTATTCTCATCTCCAGTTTGAACAGGCACCAGACGGCATTCCTTCTGCTCTGCAGTTTGCTCCCCTCCCCCGGCCCCCTCGGAGGGAGGCTGCGACGGGGCTCTCAGATGTGGTGGAGCCCCACGGGGCAGGCAGGCGTGCGGAATGACTCCCAGAGCAGGATTCCAGCGCCCTTCCAGGGCGAACCTGTCGGAGCTACGAGAATGGCTGAGGCCACATGGTAGCTGAGAGCAAAGGCGATGGCACGGGGGGGGGGGGGGGGGTGGGGGGGTGGGGGGGGGGTGGGGGGGGTGGGGTGGGGGGGGGGTGGGGTGGGGGTGGGGGGGGGGTGGGGGGGGTGGGGGGGGGGTGGAGTTCAGAAACTTTTAAAGTCTGGGAGGGGGCTGACAGCCGCTGGATGGCAAAGAGTCAACGGAGGCATTTACCTCGGTATCTACGGCTGGTTGGCGGGGGTGACCCGGCTACATGCAGAAGACACATCATCACAGAGCCAGCTGGGGCCTGGGTGCGATTCCTTCCTGGGAGGTGGAGTCTGATATTCGGGTCTTGTAACAGCCACCCCTCTGTTCATTCCTGACAGTCCGAGGGAGGAGGAGCTGGGAGGGTGCCACCTGCCTCAGTTACAGAGAGGAAGCTCCAAGTGGGAAATCCCAGTGGGATTCCTCACTGTTTTCCCCAAACACACAAGTTCCGTAGCCTGGCATTCACAGGCCCTGTTCATAGGGGACTGTCGCCTGGTGCTCAAAGCCTGTTCTCCGTCCAAAGAACTGTGAATCGGAAATACTTCCTATTTCAAAATGTTGCTAGATACACTCTGAAGTGCCCCAGAATGGATTTAGACTAGAAGAGCAGTAAAGGTTGAGCAAAGTGCCAAAAAGACAACAAAACCCAAAAAAGAACCAAACCAAAGCAGGATTCTTGACTGCTAGCCACAAAAACCAACTTTTATTGAAGTATAATGCAAGTACAGAAAAGTGCACACCTGGAATGTGTACGGCTCAAAGAATTTTCACAAACTGGACAGAAGAAACAAAACACCCCAGAAGCCCTGCCTGTGCCCCTCCTGGCTACCAGGCTCCTGGAGAGTAACCAGCAGCCCCCCTGCAGCAGCAGAGAGGGCTATGTGGGTCTCACACTCCATGGAAATGGAACCACATAGCATGGATGTGCCTTGCTTCGTGCTCCACGCCAAGCAGCAGCATGCGGCTGCAGGGCTGTTCACTCATTCTCATTGCCCTGTGGGATTCCACGTGTGAATGTACCGTTATTGGTTTATCCATTCAATGTGGGCATGTGGGTGCCTTCCAGCTTGGGGTTGTCGTGAATAGTGCTGCTACGAGTATAGTTCATTTCTTCTGGTGAATGTAGGCACACATTCCTGTTACGTACACACCTTGGAGTGGAGTTTTAGGTCATATATTACAACCCACCCAAGCTATTTCAGGGAAGAGTAAGGAATTTATTGGGTGGAACTTGGGGGCTCAAAGGGTTGACAGAAAGCTAGGAAGGAAACCTAAGACAATGGTTGGGAGCTGAGGCAGCTCAGTGGGGCCAAGGAACCAGTAGGAACATTTGGCTCAGGACTCTGCCACCCCAGAGCTGCTACCAGGGGACACAGTAGTCCTGGACATCTGCTGAGCCACAGCTGTCCCCAACCACCACAACTCCCATGAAATAAATCTCAGCACGCTGTCATTTCTGTGTCACTGTCTCTGGGGTCACATCCCAAGCAGGGGTATGTAGCTCACCCCGGGTGACTGGGCACTCCCTTTCAGCACTCAGCCAGTGCTAGAAAGGGGATACACCTGAAACACAGGGAAGACCTCTCCATTTGAGCATCCACAGGTGGGGGGACACTGCCTCTCACTGACTCAATGTATAAGGGGTGATTCCTTCCTATGGGAAGGGGGGTCAGATGCTGGACAGCCAAACTGGAAACATGCACCCAGTGGCACAGTGATAACTGCCTACCACAGGAGCACTCCATGTCATTTACCTCCTGACAGTAGCGAGAAGGGGGAGGGGACCAGTCACACGTTTGTGTATCTCACAGCTCACAAGGCTGAGCTTGCCTTTAAAAAGATGGCCTTGAGTTCAGGGACATTCCAGGGGTGAGTTGCACAAAAACCACAGGTTTGGAAGGAAAAGGTGTGGTAAAGGACAAAAGACATCCTTAAGGAATGGAAGGAAGAGAGGAGAAGGCAGGCAGAATGTGGACGGACAGAAAAGGTAAAGACAAACAGGGGAATGGGAAGCACATTGTTTTTCTTGACCCGATTTAGCCAGTTTCAGTGCTGTCCCACTTTCTCAGCTTCTCTGTTGTGCTTTTATGGATTGTGCTTTGTTTTATTAGGTTAATGGTATTGACCAGGGCCACAGACTAAAGAGACCCTGGTCACAGACAGAGAAGGACCTGAGGTCTTATTTAATAACACTGGTATTACCAGTGAGCTTTAGTGAAGCTAAGAATGGGTTTCAACAAAAGATGCAAAGAATGAAAATGTACTAGAACCATTTACAAGGGTGGTGAGTCATAAATTGATCTGAAAATTGTATCTTCCTCTTTGCAGGCAATTTTACATTAGCCTTCTCAGTGGAACCATGGCATCTTTGAAGCCACACAGTCTCCCCTATATTATAGCTCAGCATTCAGTACATGTGTTTGTTTTACATGATAATAACAGCTTTCATCTTTGTAGCACCTCTCTGTGTCCTCCTGCGCAGAAAGGCAGGAGGACACACCACCATTATCCCCATGTCGCAGGTTAGAACATCTCAGGAACACAATGGCTTGCTCGTGGAGCAAGCCCTGTTGGGACCAGAGACAGAGGCTGTTTCCCAACAACAGGAAAGACAAGGTGCTCTGTGCTCCTGTGGGGTTGTCTCTTCTTCAGCGCAGTGTGAGTGTGTTTTTGGAAGGACCTGCAAGTTTGTCTCGGAAACACCAAGAGCTGATTGGCCTCCCACTGGGGCAACCATGTGTCATCTTCCATGAACCTCGGGAACACAGGCCCGACCTGCCTCCTCCTGGCACAGAGGGGAAGAGGCTTGTGCTGCTGAATGGGCTGCGGTCACTGTGCTTTCAGGATGTTTGTGGGTCTGCCTGCCTGCAAACAGGTAGACCCGGAAGGCAGCCTAGCCCCCGGGCTTGGACAGGGCTCGGGCCAGGCTGCCTGCTCTCAAGCCCCAGTTTTCCTGCTTACCACCTATAACCCTGGGGAAACCATCATTTTTCTGTGCCTCAGTTTTCCTCCCTTTAAAACAGATATGCCCATGATGTTTATTTATTGTTGGAGGATTAAGTAAATGAACACTTGTCCATGCCCAGATCTGCCGTTCCTGTGACTCACTCCTCTGGGGAAGGGCCACCACGGTGAAACCCCAGAGGGCCCTGTGTCAGGCCCAGAACAGCCCTCATTAGCACTGCCCTAGGTAGACTCACGAGGAGGAGCCAGTCAGGGAAGCAGGCAGAGGTGTCGTGCGGCGAGGGGAGGTGGCGCCTTTGGCAGCTGGAGTCACCATGTGCATGCACAGCCCAGCTTGCTGTAGTATGCACCCCACATCTACATCTGTGGAAGGACCACCTCTGGGGTGGTCAGTGACAACTGGTGGAATACAGGGGCCTGGGCTCTCAGCAGGGGCTGGGCCATACGAGTTAAGAAAACTGTTGACACGCACTGGCCAGGTGGCTAAGTTGGTTGGAGCGTCATCCTATACACCGAAAGGGTGTGGGTTGGATCCCTGGTCAGGGCACATATCTAGGTTGCGGATTTGATCCCTAGTCGGGGCCCAGTCAAGAGAAACCGATCAATGTTTCTCTCTCACTTCGGTGTTCCTCTCTCTCTAAAATCAATAAACGTATCCTCAGGAGAGGATTAAAAAACAACCTGTTGATGCTGTAGGTTGTTTCTTTTCTCTAAAAAATTTTTTATTGATTGATTTTAGAGAGAGAGAGAGATGTGTGTAGGGGGGAGAGAGACAGGTAAACAGATTTGTTGTTCCACTCATAGATGCACTCATTGGTTGCTTCTTGTATGTGCCTGGACTGGGGCTCGAACCTGCAACCTTGGAGAATGGGGACGACACTCCAACCAACTGAGCTGCCTGGCCAGGGTGGTTGTTTCCTTTTTAACAGGATGATGGAAAAGCAGGAACAGAGGCCTTCCAAAACTGTTTTCTCCAGGGAAGGAGGTGAAAATTTTACCCATGTATTTCAGTTGGTCAAAGTGCTCTTATTTGATGCTGAATTATTGGGAATGGGGATTCTTGGGTATAGTTTTTCAATAAATTATCAACTGAAATGTATTAGCTTGATGTATTTAAAGTTGGGAACTGATGTTTAAAAATTTAAGCCCTGAAATCCATACTTATTTTTACTTGGCACATTTGTTATTTAGCTATGAAAATGTCTATTTTCTTTTCCGATAATGAAAATAACTTGAAAATGAAAAGAAGAAGTGAAATTAGTGTAATGAAGAAAACCAAAGGATGGATGAAACCAACTCCCATGATCGTGGCTGGGCAGGGACAGGCAGGGACAGAGGGGGAAAGCTATGCACATGCGGGTCCCCACGGGACATTCCGGAAAAGGAGGCGTCTCATCGCAGACAGAGTCAGAGGATGGTGCAGAAGAACTTCTTCTCCCGGAATGGGTTCTCTGACGCGGGCACAGGGACGATGAGAGGGTCCTCCCGGATGTGGGCCTCACAGTACGCCAGGAGATCTGCGGCAGCCTGGGACACCTGCGGGGACACAGCACAGGTTCAGGGTGAGGGGCTGGTTCCAAGTGGCCATGTGGAGAGTGGACAAGCCCTAGGACAGATGGTGCTGTGGGCATGGCCAACAGCAAGGCCATGCTCAGCCTGGAGGGAGGCTTTGTGCAAACCCGAGGAGACACCTGCCTTCAAGGAAAGAGACTGCTCCAGACGGCAGGACGCCACCACCTGGAGGACCTGGAGCCGGCTGGAGGGTTAGGACATCCCTGTTCTCCTCTCTGGTGAGTGACGAGTGAAAGCTGCAGGCCAGTAGCCCACAGTCACTCTCCAAGACCATTTCTAGATGAACGAAGCAGAGTGCTGGCCCCGGCTAAGCCAATGTGACTGCATTTATTATTATTATTATTATTATTATTATTATTATTATTATTAATTGTCTTATTGTAACCCACTCACATGACCCACATAGTACAATACACATTATAAGCACAATGCATATATAACACAGACAGGTAGATGGCCTGTGCAGGAGCCATCCTGCCATTGAGCTGTTCCTTGGCCAGCACGTTGGAGGCTCGGGTGGTGTATGACAGTGCATTCAAAGACACCTAAATCTTCTCAGGAATGACAAGAACACCCCACAAATGAAACCATCTACAACCTTCAGTACATATGAGCCACACACATTCCCTCTAGGTTTTTAAGTGGCCCATCTTCCAAAATTTAACAGAAATTCTTCTGGTTTCCAGCAGCTGGACTCCTACAAATAACTGCAGTGGAGATGTATAATGAATTTTTCCCTCAAGTAAAACCACTAAAAGTTGAGCTGACGAGTCAACCTAAACCCTGACAAAGTCTGCATTTGTTGGGAGTGTGGAATGGAGTAAGGGGTACAACGGACATCAGATTTCCAGTTTCCCCTGTGCCCCTAAGCTGGCTGTGTGATCTTGGGTAAGTAACTCAACCTCTCTGAGCTTCCGTTTCCTCATCTGTAAAATTCAGGAGTGTTAGATACTTCAAGGGTCCCTTTAACTCTAAAAGTCTACAATTTTACCTCTAATCACTCCATGGGCAGTATTTTAGATCCTAAGTAAATGGTGTTGGGTGGAGTGGGAGTGTTTGACATCTGCAGTGGCTTACAGGACACCCATGCGGACTCTCCCAGGGCAGCACAGGCCTGTGGGGGCCAGAGGAATGACCTTGAGGCCCACGTAGCTGCGGTGGGTGCACCAGAGAGTGGGGGTGGCAGTGAGAGCGTGGCGAGTGGGGGGGGGGCGGTGCCCTGCGTGCAGCATGCTCACTGCCACCTCTCCAATAAAGCCAGGGCTGTCCCCACAGCCTCAGTCACGGCTCCCTCCTTTCCAGCCCCAGGCACTTGCCGTGCCTCCTTCATGGCCACCAGATTAGGACGACCTCTGAATTCCCCTAGCGGCACCGTTGGTGGCTGTCCAGGTCAGCAGACACGACAGGTGGGTGGTGTCAGAACTGTACCTTCTTCCTCCAAGACCCATGGGCCTGTGTCTCTGACCCCAGTGAGCTCTTCCAGATGCTTCATTGAGGAAGGCCTCGTCTGCCCACCATCCCCTCTCTAGTCTTCACTGTTTGTATCTATTTTATTTTTGGGATGTGCTTTGTTTATTCTGAATTCTCTATAAACCTCATTATGTCATCTAGGACGTATATATTGAGAGAATACAGGGGAAAGAATGGGGCAAGGTTTTTGCACCCTAGAAGGTCTAAATGAGGACTCAAATGTTATAAAGTTACTACAGTGATTGGCACTATCACACAAAGAACAGTTGCTCGCCACTGTGTGCCCATGATGGGCAAGGAGACATGGTGTTTGATGGCCCCACCCAGTCCCACTTGGGGGGCAGTCACCTTGGAAAACCTGTGCCCTTTATCCAGAGGTGAGTCCCCAGGCTCTGGGCCCCCAAACACTATTTTCTGGCTAAGAGTGGGCCCCCTCCTGCACATGACCCACATTACACAAGTTTAGGGGACAGCCACATTCAACCATTAGTACAAACAATGGCTGATAGTCACCAAGGGTCTTGACGAGCCAGGTACTGTGCTAGCTGCACCATCGTGTGAATGACTCATTCAGCTCTTCCAAGTAACACTCCTGAAGCCACTTTCCAGATGAGGATGTTGAGGCACAACAGTTATGAAATGTGCCCCAGGTACATCGCCAGCAGGAGAGAGGCCAGACTCAGACGGACAGCAGCCTGGCCACAGAATCTGGGCTTCTGTGGCGCCTGATCAGTTGATCATGAAAACCAGAGCTCCTGCATGCAGGGAGGTTCTCATCTGCTGGGCAGGCCTGCACCCTCTCTCCTCAGATGCCTTCGCCCAGGGAACTCACACGGCCAGAAGGCAAGTCTTGCACCTGAAGTTTCTTAGGTTGTTCCATGGGGTCTGGCCGAGGAAACCCTCCCACATAAATTCCTGAGCTGGGATCTGCTTCCTCTCCCCCATGCCCTGGCCAATGTCACCTCCAAGATTCTCCTCCCCTGGCTGTGACCCACACACTGTCAAAGCCTCTAAACGAGGAGGTCATCAGACTGAGGTGGCTCTAATGCATGGCAGCCCATGTGAGCTAACTGGAACCCAAGCCACTGCCTGCCCTGGGACCTGAGAAAGGGAAACTGAGGAACAGGCAATCACAAACAGCCAACTAGGCCTCCCTAAATAAGGAAACCACTTGGGCTCTAACCAATATGGTAATTTCTCTGCTTTGTTCCCACCTCTCCACTGTAGAAACTTTGCCGCAGGTCATGCAGGTGGGGCACTTCTGGCCACTTTGTGCTGCCTGGTTCTAGCCAATGCATGCTCCAATGAACTCCTGTAGAATAACTTTCGTGTGCCTCAGTTTATCTTTCACCAGCACGATCCACTGGTCCAAAGTTGGATCAGTCAACCAAAGCTGACTAGCTAAATTATAATTAGAGCTTCCTTTCCCTTCATCAGTTTACTAGTTTGAGTACTTGTCAGATCTATGTCGGTGGATCTGACTCATTCAATTTCCCTAGAGTACTGGCCAGGGGACGCTTCACTGGGGCCCAAGCACGGGAGGAGGGGGCTAAAAAATGGGGCTCAGGGGACAGCAGGTGGAGGGGAGACAGGGCTGGGCCACGTTCCTGTCTCACATCAGCATGTCTGCCTCCCTCGCAGCCCCGTGTCTGCACCCCCTGACAACTTTGCTGTTAGTGTCTGGCCTTGCTGGTTTGACACAGGTCTGATGTGGGCATTTTTCTATCACCTCCAAAGGTGACACTGCACCCAATGCCACAGTTTCTCTTTCAAGAAAAGCAACTGTTCTTAGATCGCCTCCTGTTGTTGTTTTAGGGTTATGGATGTGTCCACTTAGTTACAACCACACTCACAGTGGGGTCCTACATAACATGAATGAATACATAATGAGGTCATGAGCACCCAGTTTAAAAGTTGCTTCCACGCAATATTGATTTCCTAGATGCACTCAGATTATTGAGACATAAAGGATGATCTAAGAGCAAGAAAGTCATCTTACAACAAAGGAATTAAGAGAGTTTTTCTTTTTTATTTTTATTCCTTACCTGAGGATTTTTTTTCATTGCTTTTAGAGAGTAAGGGAGGGAGAGAGAAAAACATTGATACAAGAGAAGCATCAATTGGTTGCCTCCTGTATGCACCCAAACCAGGGATTGTATATTCCCAGATCAGGGATTGAATTCATAATCTAGGTGTGTTCCCTGACCAGGAATCGAACCTGCAAACTTTTGGTTATGGGATGATGTTCCAGCTAACTGAGCCACACTGGCCAGAGCAAGGGAGCTTTTGCTTAGCCTTCAGCCCTTTTATTTCAGTGTCCCCTGGCCCTTTATTCCTGTATAATTGAAGTATCTTGCATAACTCCTGAAGTTTGTTGGGCTGTGATCTGAAAGGATGAATACTCGTAGTGAGCATCTTCATGTTCTTATACTGAAAGGTGACCTTACACATGCTTGGGGTCTGGGCATGAATTCACCTAAATCTGCTCTTAGGTTCAGTGGGAGGGTTTTCTGAATCAGCCCTAGGTTGACTTTTATGATTGAAAGTTTCCTTCAACATATATAAAATATGGGTTGCAGACAGTGCCAAACCCTGTAAAACATTTGCCATTTTTGAACAAAACAGATGATCCATATTCAAAAAGTAAACTTTAGCCTGGTTGGAAATATAAAACTCCCTTACTGTGTAGACTGTCTCACCAAGTCTCCAGTCTGCTTTACCCGAAGTCCAATGTTCCACCTTGCCCAGAGCATCGCTGCCTCCTCTCCTCACTACTGAACTGTTAAAATTTCTAAGAAAACAGTTGTTGAGAAGAACTGGCAAGAACAAACAAGGTGACAGACTAGGTGGATATTACACTCACCTCCTCCCAGGAGCAAACTGGAATTACAGCTAAAATACAGAGCAATCAACCTGAATAACCAACTGAGGGCTAGCTGAATGTAAGTCTTATGACCAAGGACTTACAGATAAAGCCATACTGAGACTGGTAGGAAGGGCAGAGATGTAGGAAGGGCTGACCCCACTCCCATAGGGGTGCAGTTGAGGTTCTGGAGAGATATCTCAGCTGCAAAGTTTCCCCCTTAGGAGTGTAGGGTCTCAACACAATGCTGGGCTTCCCAGCCCAAAGCACCAGAGCTGGGAAGAGGCACTCACATAACATCTGGCTGTGAAAATCACTGGGAATTGTCCGCCAAGGAGGGTAGGAGTCTTCTAGAGACACAGGCTCTCTCATAAAGGGCCAGTGCACAAAATCGCATTCACAGGCATTCACCTTGGGCTCTGGCATGGAGAGGGTAGAGTGGATGGAAGTTGTATGAGGAGAGACTGGGGTTTGCGGCTCTGAGGAGCAAGCTGAGAGAACAGCCACCAGGATCCCTGTGCTGAGTGCCTCTCCAACACCTCAGGTTACATTCTTCCTTGAGTGGAGCACTCCCCTCCCTACACCATCAGCCCAGGGGGAGCAATCACCCCACCATGCAGCACTCATGACC